AAGGACGAACACTAAAAAAGGAAATTAATAAATGTTAATTAACATCATTGAACACCTCAAATTCTANCAAAAATAACAACAACTTTTACTTTAACATTTTGTGGAAAGTGTAGATTTCTGTTATTTATAGAAGACTAGACTTCACATGATAACTTATATCAACAAGTAGGTATGCACTAAACATATACTTCACATGTGTTTGACCACAAAGACGCATACATGGATGATAAATTATGTACTCCTTGAAGTTATGTAAATGACAAGTTCTCACGACTCTCAACTACTAAAGATGATTAGAATGCAGAAAGGATCACAGTTGCTCTTTGAAATACAGACAGATTCGTGGTTTCTTTGCAAGAACCTCCTAGAAAATTCTGTAGGAATTTGAGCAGAAATTTTATTTTTAAGAGCATCAACAGCACCGACTGGTTTTAAAACCAGGGGCAGGGTACTCACCCATATTTAGAGTGACTGTGATAATGTTCAGAGACATTGTTGATTCTGTAATTGTGCTGAAGGACGAACACTAAAAAAGGAAATTAATAAATGTTAATTAACATCATTGAACACCTCAAATTCTAGTCAGACACTACTTAAAATATCTTAAAATATGCCCCCTCTAACCAGTATTGCACCCCAATGGTCACTAATATCATTCTAAATTCAGTTTAAAGGTAAATGACAAGACTGCTATGCAGTAATTCAGTACAGAACAGTGATATTTTGTAAACAAGAAATTCACTCTTTTCACTTTTTTATGTAAAAACACTTCTTTAAAGTAACCTTATAAGATCATTTTTCCTGATCAAGGCTTCAAGAGGCTGTCCACACTTGGTGCCCGGAAAACGACAACTTGCGTCGAAGCCTTGACAGTGGTAGCCTCCCCCGCAGGCGTTTTTTTAGGGAAGAAATACGATCTCCCCTAAAAACGCCTGCGGGGGAGGCTATGACAGTGGGGACTTTACGAACCAGAACGCGACGCAGCCTGAAACGTCACCGTCAAGTAATTTGCTCACAAAGTGCTTCACTGCGCATGCTTGGCGCTAAACTGCAACGCGTCTTCTTCAACACCGCGGCAAAACGTCTACGCATGCGCCAGGTTGAGCATTTCCGGTCTCTTTTTCAGTCACACTTTCCAGTCAGATCAAAGTCTCCCGCGCGCGTTCGGATTCATTCTTTGTGCAGCTTGTGGTTCAGTTCTTCTGCATCATGCTGCTCGTGTTTTTGACTATTTTGTAGTTATTGAAATTGCTTTTATGGATAACCAGGCACAGATCACTGAAACAATTAGTCGATTAGATTCAGGAAAGGTAAGATGATAATAACTCAGAGTGTGACAGTTATTTTTCACTTAACCTGGCTGAAACTAAGACATAAAAAGTTATCCTTGCAAGCTTGTGTATTTTAGTTCTAATTTCCAATTCTTCAATTTCTCAGTCTTCATGTCTTAAAGCCGATTCGAGCTTTATTTGGAAAACCACAACACACAATCGCTTTGTAGTTTTTTATTTACCAGTGAGTTTTACCTTGTTTTGAAACGAAACTCTTCTGAGTTGATTGCCATGAAACATAAGCTTTATTATACTTTTGAGGTTGGCAGCAAGTTGACAACTCTATTTATTTTTTTCATTCTCAGAATCAGAGAGCGAAAGCTGGTTCGATGGCTTTTAGAAGTCGAACTTTTCATGCCATGTATTTAGCAGTTGGAAGTTTCGTGTTTGCATGAGACGCAGCCGAGCCGCACAGTCTGAAATTATTGAAGTCTTCAACCAAAGAACAACCATGTAAAAGAATTAAATAGGCATTTTCTTGAATGAAAGTCATTTATAGGCATGTTTAGTTTCCCGGCACTGAAAACTTCGGGTGTTAGTGACTGCAGTCATCAAAGTCGAAGTTGTTATTTAATCCCGCCCATCTTTTGTTTTGAGTTCTTGTTTTCGCTGATAATAAAAAAATTATTAAACGGACTAAAATTTTATTTCCTGGTTTTAGTGTTAATGATAATGATGACTCCTTTTTGGTTTCTTTCATAAGTATTGTTATTCTTTTCTTAGTTGTCGCCTTCTCCCAAATTAACTTATGCCAAACCAGTAGCATGCAAGAAAGCCAGTAAAAACAAATTCGTCATGTCGAGCGCTCGCGACCTGCAAACTTCAAACATCATTTTCACCGTTGGTGCAAACAGATAACCATGTGGTGCAAAAGTTTGACACTAGAAAAATATATAAGTTTTCGAATGAAGTGATTTTTTTCGCCCCCTTTTTTGTCTGTTTCTCCCTCTTTGCTTTTAAACTTGGTGCGACGGCAATGTTATGCTTACGCAATTGGTTTATATACTAGACCGGAAATAAAAAGCTGACCGGATGTCAAATCTGTGCTCATGCGCATTGCGTTTTGCCGCGGTGTTGTCTTCTTCACGTCCAGAACACGAGGTTGGCACTTGTAGCGTTTCCAGAAAACGTGAGTAGTTTCTACTGAATTTGACCTAGAATTAAATTTTCTTTTGCTACCTTATAGGCAAAACTGTTTTTCTAAGTCCATGAAAATGTTATTTATTGTAAAAAAATACCAAACAAACATTTTAATTTGCGTTTTACTGCAGGTCAATTGGTTACCGCTATGATGAATGGACAACACGCAGACCCGCCGAGTTCGATACCAAAGTCGAAAACTGGCAAGTAAGTCCAATTTAGTTTATTAGAAGATTCAATTTCCTGTCCTGCTTAAATATAAGATTAAAATGAGTTTAAACTTTATATTTATGTTCTTCATTGAAAACAAACTAAAACAGACTGTTCTTTTTTTCACGCAGTAATGTGATGTACTGGACAAGCGAGCACGATGTCCTGTTATGCAGAGAGGTCGTTTCCGAGAATCCGTTCAAAACAAGAAAGGGTTCGTCGCAAAGAAGCGAAATTTGGGATAGAATAGCCAACACTTTGAATACCTGTTCCAAGCCTGTCTTTGCTGTGGATAAAAGGTCCGTAAGGGATCATGTGGGTATTTTAATTAACCGAATCAAAAAGAAATTGAGAGCTGAGGAAAGGAGCTCGGGCATCGCGCCGCCCGAGCCCACAGAACTTGAAAACTTGGTGGAAGAAATTATGGCTCTCGAAGAAACAGCTGATGCAGAAATGAAAGAGGACGACGAAAGTGTGAAAGGAAAGGCTGAAAAAGAGAAGGCAAAGGCCACAGATATGAGACTTAAAGCACTTGAGAAAGTGTCGGAGACGATGAAGAGACATTCAGGCGAAAATGATCAGGAAAAAGTAAAGAAAAGAGAACGGAGAAGTGGCAGCGAGACCATGTTGTTCCTGTCCAAAAAAGCGGAAAAAGACCAGGGACTGAAACTTGAGGGACTCTAGCTGAAAAAAGAGCAACACGATTTGGATGCAAAACGTTTACAGGCGAGCATTGATCAGCAAGGCCAGTTTCAGCAACAACAAAGCGAAATGATGCGGCTAATGCAAGAACAACAACAACAGCAGCAACAGCAACTCTTGGCGTCACAATAACTGATGTTGAGACAGCAACAAGACCAAACTAAAGCACTGATGAGTTTGTTGGATAAACTTGCGAACAAATAGCTACCTAATTCACTTAAAATTCACCAGTGTTGCTGGTATAGCTGTCGCTTGATTTGAAAACCAGTTTGTATATTGTATTAACTGTTGTGGTTGTTTTGACAAGAGTCACGACCAACGTTTTCTGTTAGCGATCAATGTTTGTATTTCGACAGTGGCACCGCATTTTTCTTGTGCCGAGGAGCCCGCCTTTTGTCACGTTCTATTATTTCAGTTATCTCATTGGATGGTGGCATATTAGAAAATACTTTTTGTCTAGAATAGTTGAATAATTTTTTTGAAAATTTGCATTCTGTTGCGTAAACTGCAATAAAATTCTGTATTTTCAGTCTGCTATAAAAGAAACTAGTGATACTTTATGTGTTCGAAAACAGGTTTTAAAAAACTCCCTAGGATAAAAAGGGCTGGGGAGTCTAGGGGAGGGAGTATGTTGAGGCCAAATATTAAGCTCACATTTCTAATTTTAAAATCTCTCTTGTAGGGTTAACAGTACTCTTCACTAAAATCAGTTTAATGATTAAGTTTAATCTCAAGTTGTATTGAAAAAATTGTGAGTTGTATTTCAGTCCCAAGGCTGTGGTCATTAATACTGAACTAAAAAGGAGGATAAGGGGTAGGGGCGGCTTGGTCAGTATAGGTTGCAGGCATTACAATTTTATGTTTATATATTGCATTAGACTCGAGATATTTTTCTATGACTTTTCCGCCTTCCCCGTTGTGTTATAATGACCACAGTGCAAATCTATGGCTCTATAACCTTTGAAAATGAGTCATAATTGCAGAATACATTGAACCTCAGACACCTAATTGAAATAGTCCTGGATTTGGGGTGGATCTATTTCAAAAAACTTCGAAGTACTTGATTGATAAAGACAACTGTGAGCGTTTCTCAAGATCGCGCACACAATGTACATTTTGCCAATAGGACTTAAGCCTATTTTTAAGTTTTTCTTGAATTCTAGGAATGCAAAGTAGTTAACAATGTCCCCAAATAGCCATTCTACCGAAACTCTGACTTGGCTCATGGCCTTGTTGAACTGTTGCTCTGCTGGTATTAAATGAGCGCCTTTGAAGGGCCCTTGTAAATGGACACGCAAAGGATAGGTAGGGTCGCCATAAACGCATAAGGGTGTCCCGTCCGGTGCAAACGAGTAATGCGATAATTCTTGCAGAAGTCCTGAGTCGACTAGCATACCACTATCGTGTCTCCTACCCTCGACTGGACCAAACAAACTTGCGATAAGCCCATTTGGCGCAACTACGGACTGAAACTTTATCCCATGCACCCTTTTATGTCCGTTATAGAGAATTCTTTGGTTTTCATCTGGCTTACATAAGGGTCTCACTGTTCCGTCTATGAAACCCCAACAGTTTTCGAGTGGAGCTCCTTTAGCATGTATAGTGGCAGCAAAATGA